CTGGCCCCTAATCTAGGCTGACTAGCAGTCCTGAGAAGTAGCATGGTTCTGGTTTTCACCAGCTCGAAAAGTGAGAATCCACACTTAGTATCTTCCTACAGTGGTCATTGCTTCGTCTCCTAGTACACCAGGAGGGTCTGACTTCGTGCAGAAGCCACACCTCACACTTGTACAGAAGTCCATGTTCCGTGTCATTTTCCCTCTGGAGTGGTAGTGGTAGTAAGGGACAGTGGAATCATTTAGCTTGCGAAAGATAAAAGGCAAAGGTCACTCCATCTTCTAGGTCTAGGAAAGAGGAAAAGATGGAGGGTGCTTTCGCTTTTCTACTCCCCTGAACATGTGACTTTGTTGTGTCTTCCAGGAACCAAGGTGTTTGTGATGCCCAACGGGATGTTGAAAAGCAACCAGCAGCTGGTGGACATTATTGAGAAAGTAAAACCTGAGATTCGGCTGCTGATCGAGAAATGTAACACGGTGAGGCACGGGCTAGTGACCTATGACTGGACCCAAATATCTCCACTTGACCTATGGAATGGTGGGTGGGGTTGGCAGGTTAAGTCTCTTGATTACTTTGTTTCTGACATCTGTCCTCAGCAACAAGCATCGTGTACTTCATGGCTTTAGTAAAAAAGACCAAGGTCCTATGAGCATTTTGTCTTCTCACACTCTAGGTCAAAATGTGGGTACAGCTCTTGATTCCCAGAATAGAAGATGGAAACAACTTCGGGGTGTCTATTCAGGTAATGTATCCCCTGCCTTGTCTCTCTGGTGCTGCTGTAGGGTGATGTGGAGGTAACTTGACTCACATGTAATTCCCCACAGGAGGAAACAGTTGCAGAACTAAGAACTGTCGAGAGTGAAGCTGCATCTTATCTGGACCAGATTTCTAGGTAGGGCTGCTTGGGCTGTACCTAGGAGCTGAACTGTTGAAGTGGGAGACATGTTCTGTGTCCCCTTCAGTTGCCTCTCTTTTTTCCTCCTTCCAGATACTATATTACAAGAGCCAAATTGGTTTCTAAAATAGCTAAATATCCCCATGTGGTAAGTAGGGGTTTTGGGGTCTGAGGTAGGGGTGGCAGGATAGGTAGGATACTAGGAATGAGCTGTCTCTGGGCATTTGGGCCTTGGAAGACTAGCTTTCCCTCCTTCCCATGCAGGAGGACTATCGCCGCACTGTCACAGAGATTGATGAGAAAGAATACATCAGCCTCCGTCTCATCATTTCAGAACTAAGGAATCAATATGTGAGTAAAGTCAGTCCCTGCCCATAACTGTCCTGGCTTTGCTTATTTCTCTGATAATTTCTGGAGAACTGAATGGCCAGGATGGTATCTGCCTATAATCCCAACTGCTCAGGAGACTAAGCAGGAGGCCGGCTAGGGTACATGAATAACTGTTCATCAGCCGGGTATGGAGAACATGAACTCGCTGAGGACATCTAGTTGGCTGTTTCTGTTCTATCTAGGTGGAGGTGTTATACAGCATGGGTCTTGGAATCAGAAAGATAGCTTTGTAGCCCAGGCTGGCCTGAAGCTCACTGTGTTGGTATCAGGACTCACTGATTCTGTCTCCCAAACGCTGTGTTAAAAGATGTGTGCCACCATAACCAACCAGTTTTTTTTTTTAATTATTATTATCATCTCTGTGTCAGTATGTGCATGTGTGAGAGTGCTGGTAGCTGGGATTACTAGAAGATTCTAGGTGTCAGATTCCCTTGAATTGGAGTTAGTGGCAGTTGTGAGTTGCCTGACATGGGTGCTAGGTACTTAGTTCCGGTCCTCTGCAAGAGCTGTGCCTGCTCCTGGCTGCTGAGCCATCTCTGCAGCCCAGAAAGTATGTTCTTGATCATGTTCAAGCTCAGACTTGGGAGTTAAGATTACCGACTACAAAAATGGATTTTAGCAGTAAATGAGGCTGCACATTAAAGAACTTTTTTTTAAAAGATTTATTATGTATACAGTGTTCTGCCTGCAGATCTCATTACAGATGGTTGTGAGCCACCATGTGGTTGCTGGGAGTTGAACTCAGGACCTCTGGAAGAGCAGTCAGTGCTCTTAACCTCTGAGCCATCTCTCCAGCCCTAAAGGACTTCTTATACATGTTAGTGTGGTAAATACTGGTAGCCTGCTCAAGGAACGAATATAGGGGGTAGTGTTCCCCTTTCACTGAGTCAAGTGATAGAATTACGGTAAGACAAGTTATTGCTTGATGAGGTAGAGGTTGAAGAAATGAATGATTCCCTGACCTTTCCTTTCCCAGGTCACTCTACATGACATGATCCTGAAGAATATTGAGAAAATCAAACGGCCCCGGAGCAGCAATGCAGAGACACTATACTGAGGCCAGGGCCAGGGCCAGGGGACTCTGTGAGTCTGGCTCAAGACCGACATTGCCTTGGTTTGTTACATGACTATCGTGATGGGGAAACTGGCTGGAAATAGTAACCACACCTCTCTGTTTTTAGTTAGAGTCTAATGAAACTCTCATCTAGTTCTGTGATGTGTTTACCTCTTTTTTCAGGCCTCAGGAACTCTTCTATCTCCTTCCCCAAACCCCACACCCAGCCTGTCCTAATTTCTGGAGAACTCCAGGTTTGCGCGAGATATTCGCACAAGAATAATTGTGGGGTTTTTGTTTTTTCTTTCCTTCCCTTCCTCCTCCCCTTGTTTTTAAGTTTTGTGTTAAAAGCTGGAGGAACTGTAGGGGAAGTGTTAGGTGTTTTTTAGGAACTGGGGGAGTGGAGGTGGAAGGGACATCTTCCTGTCACAAGGCCAGTGTCTTTTGCTTCTGTGGGACTTTGGGTCCACCCTACTGCAACTGCCCTGGCGATGCCCTGGGGCTCTCCACCTGTGTCTACCCCTCCTTGAACCTGACCATGACGAGGGATACCTTAGTCCTTCAGCTGCATCCCTAGAGCTCCTTTGGATGCTTTTATAACTGGGGTTTTCACAGATACTGTGTACACTTGTACACACACATAGGGACATGTATACATGCTTCCTGTTCCATTATAGAACGTAGCCTTCCTTCCTGCACCACTACCCCCTCAGTCTCTGTCACACACGTAACACCTCAGCAGGTGACAGTTGTCTTAGTCATCCACCCAGGCAAGTCCCAGGCCCACCCTCTCTTCTGATAATGTAGCCATTGGTGCCCAGGGTAAGTTGAAGGAGAACTGAGAGCCGAGGAGCAGAGGGCTCATGAAGGCCTTTCCTCTGTGACTCAGGTTCTTTGGTGTTATGCAAAAGCTGGCCCCTCTGGCCCTCACTTGCCGTTCTCCCAGGCCAGCTTGTGCATTGGATAGGGTATGGGCAGCTATGAGGTCCAGAGGCTGCTACTCCTCGCTGTGCTTTCCCTTTGGGAAATATTTCTCATATTTATAGTATTGTGCTTCCAGGGAAAGCAGTAATTCATGTGTATATGTATCTGCACATACACACGTGCCCGTGTGTGTGTGTGTGTGTGTGTGTGTGTGTATAAATATGCTGCGAAGGTCAAACCCATAGAAGAGTTGCCTCTTTCGAATCTTCCAGAGATCTCATTCGTTATAGCTTTTGTGTTAACCCCATTGGCCCCCAGCTTTTTAAGTGAGAGTTGGTATCTGCAGTTAACCTGCTAGTGACTCTCAGTGTCTATTTGGCTTTTACTCCTCTCTGTCTTCCAACTCCCAATCATATTCCACCTGGGATGCATCATTTCACTCCCAGTATTCTATAGAAAAGGAGTCAGAATGCTCTCTTCCCATTAATAGTGCTCAGTAACAAACCAATTGCATTTCAGTTGGGCAGTACTCCTACCCACCCCTCAGATCCCTTCCAGCTAAACCCCCTCCCACCATGTGTTTCTCAGCTTCCCTTTTTGTTTGACTGTTCCACTGCCCCTCCTCACCCTACCAACCTTGGATTGTAATGTAAAATTCTTTTACCATGTCAAGAAATTATTAAAAATACAGGTACTTTGACCTCTTTCTAAAGCTGCAGACCCTTGTGCCATACTCTGGTGACTGAGGGACATAGTGGTCATGTGTGAGCATTCAGACACCCACCTTCACCGATGCCCTGGCCAACCTGCTGTGTGTACACTTGCTGTTGAACTCTTATCATGGTGGCAGGAGTGAAGAAGCTTCTATGCTGGGCATTGGTGGCGCACGCCTTTAATCCCAGCACTACGGAGGCAGAGGCAAGTGGACCTCTGTGGACCTCCAGGACAGGCTCCAAAACTACAGAGAAACCCTGTCTCGAAAAACCAAGAAGAAAAAAGAGTGAAGCTTTTGACCAGAGGGGGAGGTGGTTCCTGCTTTGTTTTGAAGATAAATTATGTGAAAGCCTTTCCAGGAATTTAAACTGCCTCTCTATCCATCCTCCAGATCCTATTCCTTCCCCGATGATACCCATAGCTACCAGCAGAGGTTGCTGTGGTTCTGTGTGGGAACAGCCTCTCAGCCACGCCCTATCCAGCCTGCCTTTTCTGTCATAATAACTTTCTATATAATACTTGAACTTCTTTGAGGGGACCCCTGGAGTTGGTTTAAATGACTCAAAGGGTTTGCAGGAGGCTCATGTCCCTCAGAAGTAAAATGCCCTCCCCTTTTCCAATAAGACAACTTTGTAGAGGTTTAAGGTCCCCAGCAAGGAAGGGACATCTATCTGTTCTGTCCCAGAGTTTAGTGTCACTAGCTAACAAGTAGCTTCTGCCTGCCTTGTGGGATTATTAAGCACTTGTGTGTATGATTGCAATTTTTTTTTAAATTTTATTTTTGGTTGTGTCTGTGTGACAGTCCTAGCGGTCCTGGAACTCAAGGACAGGCTGACCTCAAACTCAACAGACATCCACCTTCCTCTGCTTGCTGAGTGCTGGGGTTAAAGGTGTGTGCTACCATGCCTAGCAGCTGTATTTTTTTTTTTAAATCTCTCTTTTGTTTGTTTTTTTGTTTTTGTTTTTTGAGACAGGATTTCTCTGTAGCTTTGGAACCTGTCCTGGAACTAGCTCTTGTAGACCAGGCTGGCCTCGAACTCACAGAGATCCACCTGCCTCTGCCTCCCAAGTGCCGGGATTAAAGGTGTGCGCCACCACCGCCCAATTTATGTCATTTTTTAAGGCAGGTTGTCACTGAGGTTGACCAGTAACTCACTATGTAGTTCACCTGTCATTGAACTCCTAACAGTGTGTTAGGAGTGTCCTGAGTGTTGAGATTGTGACATCAGTGACCCTGTCCCACTGTCCATTTATAGTAAGAAACTCCAGGGTGAGTAGCTTTAAGGCCACCACAGCTTGGATGGGTGTATTGTACCAGTATGAACAGAAAGCCCAGAACCTCAACCAGTATTTTCTCACTGACTGGATAGAATAAGGCCCCAAGACTCCCAATTCAGGCACTGCATTAGGTCCCAGGTAGAGCTAAGAACTTACTGCTGAGCTGGGCAGTGGATCCAGGAACTGTTGCTTGGGGCATGATTCTGGGAATGGTGTTTTATTAGTTCTTGTGTGTGACACAGGGGAAGGATTATGCATCAAAATTGCCTTCTCAGGACTGTTTAAGATTACAAGGTAGTTGCATATCATTATCCCAATGCCTTCTCATCTGTTCTAATGATGGAAGGTCTTAGTTAGAGACTATTAGCAGTTGGAGTTTAGGGAAGGAACATTTTGTCCAAACCACAGGGCAGAAAATTGGAACAGAATTAACATAAAACAAGATCAGGAATTTCCTGTCCAGCCCACGGGGTGGAGTTTGGTCCATTCCTGTCTCGTACTGAATATAAGTCCTGCCGTAATGTCAGAAGCAGAAAAGAGCTGCTGTTGGAGTGGTTGCATCTCAGCATCAACCATGACTCTCAAGGTGCTGCTGGTGTGTCTGGTGCTCGCTCTCTTTACTGTCTTTGCTCTGACCTATGTCTTGCTGACCAGGCAAGGCAGTTCCAGCCAGTCTCCTCGATGCCCCTCCATTCCTCTCAGAATTCATCCCTGGATGCACCATGGCCAGAGTCAGCTGTTTGCAGACCTGAGCCCCGAGGAGCTAACAGCTGTGATGAGCTTTCTGACCAAGCACCTGGGGCCAGGGCTGGTGGACGCTGCCCAGGCTCGGCCCTCAGACAACTGCGTCTTCTCGGTGGAGCTGCAGCTGCCTGCCAAGGCTGCAGCCCTGGCCCACCTGGACAGAGGGGGCCCGCCACCTGCCCGAGAGGCGCTGGCCATCATCTTCTTTGGTGCACAACCCCAGCCCAATGTGACTGAGCTGGTGGTGGGGCCCCTGCCTCGCCCGTCCTACATGCGGGATGTGACTGTGGAGCGTCATGGTGGGCCTGTGCCCTATTACCAGCGCCCCAAGCTGAAAGTGGAGTTCATTCAGATTTGGAGGTATTTGAAAGAAGTGGAACTCCCAAAGGCACCCACCTTTCTGGCTTCTGTCTTGAACTACAATGGCTCTACCTTGGCACCTCTGCATTCTTCTGCTAGTGGCTTCCAATCAGGGGACCGGACTACCTGGATAGCCCTCTACCATAACATCTCAGGTCTCGGAATATTTCTTCACCCTGTGGGGTTGGAGCTACTGCTGGACCACAGAGCCCTGGACTCTGCCCACTGGGTGGTCCAGCAGGTCTTCTACCTTGGGCACTACTATGCAGACTTGGCCCAGTTGGAATGGGAATTTAAGGCTGGCCGCCTAGAAGTGGTTCGTGTTCCTCTACCCACACCAAATGGGGCTTCCTCCCTGAGGTCTCGAGTTACTCCAGACCCCCCACTTTCCCCTCTTCAGTTCTCACCCCAGAGTCCCCAGTACAATGTGCAGGGAAACTTAGTGGTATCCCCCCTCTGGATGTTTACATTTGGTCATGGTGTGTTCACTGGCTTAAGACTTTTTGATGTTCGGTTTAAGGGTGAGCGTGTGGCTTATGAAATCAGTGTCCAGGAGTGCCTGACTGTTTACGGTGCTGATTCCCCCAAAACAATGATGCTCCGTTATTTGGACAGCAGCTACGGGCTTGGCCAAAACAGTCGAGCCTTGGTTCGGGGGGTGGACTGCCCTTACCAGGCCACAATGATGGACATCCACATATTAGTAGGCACAGGGGCAGTCCGGCTGCTCTCAGGGGCTGTGTGTATATTTGAGGAGGCCCAAGGATTTCCCCTTCGAAGGCACCACAACTACGTAGGGGGTCATTTCTATGGTGGTTTGGCCAGCTCAGGCCTTGTGATCAGGTCGGTGTCATCAGTGGGCAACTATGATTACATTTGGGACTTTATACTGTACCCAAATGGAGCGCTTGAAGGGCGTGTCCATGCCACAGGCTATATCAACACAGCCTTCCTGAATGGAGGGGCTGAGAGCCTCCTCTTCGGGAACCGCGTGGGAGAGCGAGTGCTGGGAGCAGTGCACACACACGCTTTCCACTTCAAGCTGGACCTGGACGTGGCAGGTGAGTTCTGGGGCTAAGGCTTGAGGGTAGGGAGTAGCGCACAGGGCTGGAAGCTTCCAGACCCAGCTGCATCTGAAAGGTGGTGAGGTCGGTCTAGCCTCCGGTGGAGGAGGATTGTTTGAGTGCCACTGCAGTCACCTGGGCATCTGGCCAAGGATGAAAGGGTTCTTCTGCCCAGCTCCCACCTTCTGGTCCCTTTCCCCAGATCTGCAATTGTGAAACTAATTTAAATGTAATGGCTGCGCCCGGCTTCCTTAACCAGAGGGAGCCTCTGGGCCAGTGGATTGACCCAGTGAGAATTGGATGGGACTAGAGCCAGCACTTGGCCTTTTGAGCTCAGGGTGGGTGACTGGGACAAGGACCTGAGCAGAGGTAACCAAAAGTCTGGTTGAAGAGTCTGCAGTAGGGCTAGGGATGCTGTGGTCTGTACATGGGGAAGGAAGGTGTCAGGGTTGGGGGTAGCCCTGCGGTTAGTGCCACTTAACAGTGTGGGAAGGCCACCCTCTCCTGTCGTCACTATTAACAGTCCTCTGTTGTGGCAAGCCTGGGATAGGCTGGCTGCCAGTCTGGCGCTTGCTGCTCCTGGCAGACTCTGGAGGAGAGAAACTCATCAAAGCACAGACATGGATCCAGAAAGAAGTCAACTCCACCAAGACCTTCATTTTACACGTGGGGAAACTAAGGAAGGCAGGGGAGATGGAACAGGAAGGAAGTGGCTGCCCAAGTGTAATGTCTGACAAAGCTTATATCTTGTGAAACATTCTCAAGTGTGAGGCCCTGGCATGTGTACCTTGCACACTGTGCTTGCGTTTGTGGTTTTTTGGTGGGAGGTGGTGGTGGTAGGGGGTAGGAGAAGCAAGACTAACATGATGGCCATAGATTATAATCTGACATACAATCTGACAATTGGAAAAAAAACTCAACTTCTTTGGGCATTAAAGAGCCTGCTACCAGTTACTAGGCTTCTAGTGTGTGCATCATGGTCACATTTAAGGGAACCAAATGTCCTGAGCCTCGAGGAAAAAGTGATAAAGTGCTATGTTGGATGATGCAGGATTTGGTGTATGCAGTAGGAACGAAGAAGCTATAAAGCTCACTTTCAAAAGACTGGCAGTAGTGTCCCCTGTGTTAAGAGTGGAGTCCTGGAGCTGGGAGGATTTACAGGATCTGTGAGAGAGGACTGGGTTTTCCGTGTCACTTCAAGTCTCTTTCATAGTCACAGGAATTTTTCAATCAGCGTATGTGTTTTTCCATGTTGAGCATAGCCATAAAACAGTATTGTGTTTGCCATCGAGATTCAGAAGGTGAGAGTCAGAAGCAAACTGTTGTAGGGTCTACCTGGTAGGCCCATACTAATAGAGCCTTCTGTGTTGTGGCTGCCCTAAGAGTCTCCAGCCATATGTGACTGCCACGTGGTTTAAGACTGGGTCTCGCTATTTAGTAGACTGACTTTGGACATTCCCTCCCTCCCTCCCTCACTCCCTCTCTCCCTCCCTTCCTTTCCTTTTTCTCTCTTTCATTTCTGAGACAGGGTCACACTGTGTAACCCTGATTATATTGGAACTCTATGTAGATCAGTCCAGCTTTGACTTAGCAGCCGTCTCCTGCCTCTGCCTCCCAGGTCCTGGATTGTAGGTATGTGTCACCCTGCTTAGCGATGCTGAGCAGCTAGTGTGACTGAAGACTGGATTTTTAGTATATGTAGCCACATGTGACCAACGATTATCCGATTGAAATGGTGGGTTAGCACTTGCCCAAGCTTATGACTCCAAGCATAGCACTCTCTGATGCCTGTGGTCAGGCTAGTAATATAGGCATCAACAGGAGACCAAGGATTCTGTTTGAGCAACCTCACCTCAGTGTAGAATTGTCCCTGTCCTCATCCTGACAGGCTTGAAAAACTGGGTGGTAGCTGAAGATTCAGTGTTTGAGCCTGTAGCAGCCCCCTGGAACCCAGAGCATCAGCTACAGCGCCTACAGCTGACCAGGCAGGTCCTGAGCACGGAGGACCAGGCTGCATTTTCCCTGGGGAGCTCCCTTCCTCGATACCTTTACCTGGCTACCAACCAGACCAATGCCTGGGGCCACCAGCGTGGGTACCGAATCCAGATCCACAGCCCTCGTGGTATCCATGTACCTTTGGAGAGTGACATTGAAAGGGCTCTCAGCTGGGGAAGGTGAGGAGGGCCCTGGGAATGGGTGTGAGGGAAGGACTTGTCCCCCAGCCGTACCCTGGACCTGCCTTCAGATCCAAGTAGATATGGGATGGGAAATGGTCTCAGCATCCGATCCAACGGACTCGTAAGCCTGTAAAGCTCTGATTTTTCCAACATCACCTGCATACAATTCCTGGTCAGATACCAGCTTGTGGTGACCCAGAGGAAGGAGGAGGAGTACCAAAGCAGCAGCATCTATTACCAGAATGACCTGCGGACCCCGACCATGGCCTTTGCTGACTTCATCAACAATGAGACCCTCTTAGGAGAGGTTGGTGGCTTCAGAGGTAGAGGAGAAGGCCTTCGCTTTTCCTGGCATCTTGGCTGTCCAGCCTCCACCTAGTACAGGTCATCCCTACTAGGGGGTAATTAGTCACCACACTGGGACCCCACCCACCTCCTTACACAGGTCATGAAGCGTTCTGTGTAGGAATATGATTGGCAGAGGCAGAAGGCAGGCTGAGGCTGGAGGCTGGGAAACTGTAGCTAGGAGGACATTCTCTGCCTCCAAAGGCCTCTCGCTTTTCCTTCTTGCAGGATCTGGTGGCTTGGGTGACAGCCAGTTTCCTGCACATCCCCCATGCTGAGGACATCCCCAACACAGTGACTGTGGGGAACCGTGTGGGCTTCTTTCTCCGACCCTACAACTTCTTTGATGAGGATCCCTCTATCTTTTCCCCTGGCAACATCTACTTTGAGAGGGATGAGGATGCGGGGCTCTGCAGTGTCAACCCTGTGGCCTGCACCCCACAACTGGCAGCCTGTGTCCCCAACTTGCCCTCCTTTTCCTATGAAGGCTTATAGGCCCGAGGATGTGGTAAGACCCCAGGGGGCCAGGGGGTGAGATGTATGCACCTCTGTTCTATCTCCTGTGTTTTTATCACCTGCCCCCCCCCCCATCTCCACCCTCTGTTCCTTAGAAAACAGCCTCTTGCCACACTAAATCCCTGGGCTGCTGCTTCTGGGTTGATTCTTGCCTCCTGCCTGTGTTTTGTTTTGTTTTGTTGTTTTTTTCTATTTGAGACAGGGTCTTTCTATGTAGCCCCGGCTGTCCTGGAACTTGCCATGTAGACCAGGCTGACTTCAGCTTGCAGAGATCTGTCTGCCTCTGCCTCTGGACTGCTGGGATTAAAGACATGCACCACTACTCTTGGCTTCTGCTAGTTGTTTAAATGATAATTTATTTTAAAGTGTTTTTGGAATACTCAAACAAAACACCACAAATCCTACCATTTCAAAACTCGCTGGGGTTCACATTGCACCAGACCTTATCTTATATGTGTGTATCTAAAAGGAATGGTTGTGTGTAACTGATAATAAAATGGTTTGCAAAACTTTTACTTGAGTTTACTCTTTGGCTTTTTAAAGCATGTAGAGTTCCCAGGAGAATATTAAGAACTTTAGCCAAGGACGTTTAGCAACAGAAAGATACACAGGAAGGGAGGTTAGACCTGGCCAAGGAATGTTGCTTGGGAAAGAGGCTGGAGGTGGGGGGTTTCCTTGGCAAAGGATCCTTCCCAGTGATCAAAGGAAGCCTCTGGCCCTCAAAAGGTGGGAACTGGGGAAGAACTTGGTCCGGGGGGCACAGGGCTATGGGGCAGACACCGCTCCTTTCTGGTAGTGGGTTCCCATGCACAGACTGGGTTTCTCCCCCTTCTCTCAACCCAAACCCTGACCCAGAGAGCACATTCTGATGGGGAAGCCGGAGGACAAAGCCATGTAAGGTCTGTGAATATCACTGCAGCCAGCTCAGAGCCGCCTCCAACTCCAGCCTCCCTGCTCCCCGCCCTCAGCAAAAGCATCAGAATGCGAAGGAGCTCTGTTAGCATCTGGAGTCAGCCGAGAGGAGTCCCGTCTGATAGAAAGCTGTCCGTCTGCAAGGAACGATGACCCAGAAGACGACCCTGGTGCTCCTCGCTCTGGCTGTCATTACCATCTTTGCCTTGGTTTGTGTTTTGTTAGCTGGCAGGAGTGGAGATGGGGGTGGACTGAGCCAGCCTCCCCAGTGCCCCTCCATTCCTCCTAGTGCCCAGCCCTGGACAAATCCTGGCCAGGGTCAGCTGTTTGCAGACCTGAGCCCCGAGGAGCTAACAGCTGTGATGAGCTTTCTGACCAAGCACCTGGGGCCAGGGCTGGTGGACGCTGCCCAGGCTCGGCCCTCAGACAACTGCGTCTTCTCGGTGGAGCTGCAGCTGCCTGCCAAGGCTGCAGCCCTGGCCCACCTGGACAGAGGGGGCCCGCCACCTGCCCGAGAGGCGCTGGCCATCATCTTCTTTGGTGCACAACCCCAGCCCAATGTGACTGAGCTGGTGGTGGGGCCCCTGCCTCGCCCGTCCTACATGCGGGATGTGACTGTGGAGCGTCATGGTGGACCTGTGCCCTATTACCGGCGCCCTGTGCTAGCCAGAGAGTATCTGGATATCGACCGAATGATCTTCCACAGGGAGTTGCCCCAGGTGTCTGGGCTCCTCCATCACTGTTGCTTCTATAAACAAGGGGGACACAACCTGCTAACGATGACTACAACCCCCCGTGGTCTGCAATCAGGGGAGCGGAACACCTGGTTTGGATTGTATTACAACCTCTCAGGGGCTGGGTTTTACCCACACCCTATTGGCTTGGAGCTGCTGGTAGACCACGAGGCCCTGGACCCAGCCTTGTGGAGCATCCAGAAGGTGTTCTATCAAGGCCGCTACTTTGACAGTCTGATGCAGCTGGAGGAACGCTTTGAGAATGGCCTGATAAATGTGGTGCTGGTACCAAACAATGGCACAGGTGGGTCCTGGTCCCTAAAATCCTCAGTGCCACCAGGTCCAGCTCCCCCTCTGCAGTTCCATCCCCAGGGACCCCGCTTCAGTGTCCAGGGGACTCGAGTGACCTCCTCATTGTGGACTTTCTCTTTTGGCCTTGGAGCTTTCAGTGGCCCGAGGATCTTTGATATCCGCTTTCAAGGGGAGAGGGTGGCCTATGAAATCAGTGTCCAGGAGGCCATAGCCCTGTATGGTGGCAATTCCCCAGCAGCAATGATGACCTGCTATATGGATGGTAACTTTGGCATTGGCAAATACTCTACCCCACTGACCCGTGGGGTGGACTGCCCTTACTTAGCCACCTATGTGGACTGGCATTTCCTTCTGGAATCTCAGACTCCCAAGACACTACGTGATGCATTTTGTGTGTTTGAACAGAACCAGGGCCTCCCGCTACGACGACACCACTCGGATTTCTACTCCCACTATTTTGGGGGTGTTGTGGAGACAGTGCTTGTGGTCAGATCTGTGGCTACCTTGCTCAATTACGACTATGTGTGGGACATGATCTTTCATCCCAATGGGGCCATAGAAGTCAAATTCCATGCCACGGGTTACATCAGCTCAGCATTCTTCTTCGGTGCTGGTGAAAAATTCGGGAACCGAGTTGGGGAGCACACACTGGGCACGGTCCATGCCCACAGTGCTCACTTCAAAGTGGACCTGGATGTGGCAGGTAAGACAGTCTGAGGGACATCAGGGAGGGGGATAAGTGTAATCCCTACTTTGGGGTTTATGTAGGTAATTCACAAAAGAACAATTTGGGGTTTCATGCTTCCTTGTGGGCTAGCTGGGAGAGATAGCAGCTGGGTTTTCTTTGGATTGTAGCTTCCAAGCTGGGTGCAAAGCTGCCAGTTTCTACATATGTGACTGCCTTAGGAAACCTTGGGAAATGGCTAAGCTGAGGGAGAAGGCAGCATCTGGTTTCCCAGGGTCCCTTGAGTGCACACGGGCCTGTGTTCAAGCACACAGCTGTTTGTTTTCCAGCACGGCTCTGTCCCACGTACGGTACTGCAGCTCTGGATGTGTTTGGGTTTACTGAGTCCCTGGGCATGCAAGCCAGGCTTGGAACAACCGTTGCTTCACATTCCTGTGGGAGATAGGCCCTCCTCTTCCCTGATTTTTCAGCTTTTTCTGGGCACCCTTGGCTTCAGTGCAGGGGGATAGTGGGTACTGGGGAGAGGTTCCGGCTCTTGAAGTTTGGTGTCACAGAGACAGCCAAGGCTGTCATGATTTCCTGAAGATCATCTTTCTTTCTTTTTTCTTCCGTACATTGAGTTATCTCACCTGATTTTTTTTCTGTTCTCAATATGAAATATCTCAGAACTCTCACTGGGTCACACTGTTTCCACTCCTTTTTTGGGGGGAGGTGGAGTTTGAGACAGGGTTTCTCTGTGTAGCCCTGCTCCTGGAACTCATTCTGTAGACCAGGCTGGCCTTGAACTCACAGAGACTGGCCTTAAAGGCATGCGCCACCGCCCAGGTCAGTCCACTCTTGATGCTCTTAGTTCCAGGGTCCACTCTGTAGACAGAGAACTGTCCCTCTCCTGCCGGCCTGCTGCTCCCACCAGAATGTCCGCTGCAGGAGTACTTCCCTTCTGCCATTGCTAGCCCACCCGAGAGTCTTCCGAGGGCTCTGCTGTAACTGTGCCCACTGCTTCCAGGTCCTGGGCACACAGGTTTTCTGTTTGAACTCAGGCCTTACTCCCAGCTAGAAGGGCCTTCCGCGACATTTGCTGATATCCTTTAAGGGTAGGCAGAAATGGTATCCCAGGGTTGTGGGAAGTCCTGTCCCTGCCTGCACCTTTATTCCTGGAATGTAGACCCTGTCTCGCCCCTGCCCCCCCCCCCCGCCCAAGGCCAGGCTATGGGTTCTCTGACCCCTGTGGGCCTGTGAGAGCCTGAGGGTGATAATGAAGTTTATTCAGCTCCGGCCTCAGAGAGAAGCTCAGGCATCCCACTAAATAAAAAAATAAAAATAAAAATAAAAAATAAGAGGAAGAAAGAAAACCAGGCAGTGGTGGTGCATGCCTTTAATCCTAGCACTTGGGAGGCAGAGGCAGGAGGATCTCTGTGAGTTTGAGGCCAGCCTTGTCTACAGAGTGAGTTCCAGGACAGCTAGCTAGGGTTACACAGAGAAACCCAGTCTCAAAAAGCCAAAACCAAACCAAACTAAAAATGTATTTTCTGTTCTGACTTCTGTGTCTGTGGGTATGTGCACATGAGTACATGAGTGCACATGAGTGGTACATGCCACTGGAACCAGAGATGTTGGGTCTCCTTGAAGCTGGAGTTCCAGGCACTTGTGAATGGCTCAGCACGGGTGCTGGGAGGCACTCCAGTCCTGTGGAAGACCAGTGTGCACTCTTAACCTTGGAGCCATATCTTCAGCACCTGAATATTTAAATTTATGGGTTAATAGTTTTGTCTGAAGGATGGGGGAGGTCTTGGGACAGGGAGGGACGCTCTGAAGGCAGGTGGATGCCAGAAATGTCCAGAGTGGTTGAATGACTAGCCCTTACACACTTTACACAGGGCTGAAGAACTGGGCCTGGGCAGAGGACATGGCTTTTGTCCCCATGAACGTACCTTGGCGTCCTGAGTACCAGATACAAAGGCTGCAGGTGACTCGGAAGCTGCTGAAGACTGAGGAGGAGGCTGCCTTCCCCCTGGGGGGTGTCACCCCTCGCTACCTGTACCTGGCCAGTAACCATAGCAACAAGTGGGGTCATAGACGAGGCTACCGCATCCAGATCTTCAGCTTTACTGGGGAACCACTGCCCCAAAAAAGCCCCATAGAGAAAGCCTTCAGCTGGGGAAGGTGAGTGGCAGGTGATCAGAGATGGTTGGGGAGGTGCGCCTTGGGGTGCGGCAGGGGCAGAGGAGGGGAACCTGGAAACAGCAGAGTGTTTCCGACATTGCCTGTCTCTGGGCACAAAGGGTATGGGTAGGGGTGTCATATCCCCTTGGAGGACTAGAGTCAGGGAAGAACTCTTTTCTGTTCAGGTGGTGGGGTGGGCTGTACTGTGCAGTGGCAGGGGTATGATGTGACCCTCCTCCAAGGTGGTGTCAGGAATTCTAGAGCCGGGTGTTGCTGTGTGAGCATATGTGGAGGCTGGTCAGAGCACAGAGCTTGCCTCCATCGGAAACGGGCATCATGTTGGGCTTAGCATCCATGGAAACCTAACCAGTGCCCTTCTAGGTACCACTTGGCTGTGACCCGAAGGAAGGAGGAAGAGCCTAGTAGCTCTAGCATCTTCAACCAGAATGACCCGTGGACTCCCACTGTGGATTTCTCTGACTTCATCAGCAACGAAACCATTGCTGGAGAGGTGAGCTGCTGGTGGGATGAACCGAGATAGGGTACAAGGATGAGCTTTACCTCCTCACGGGTGGGTCCCTGGAAACCATCTGAGCTTCTCAGGAAAAGAGCTAGTTCTTGCCTTTTGCACGTCAGTGGAGGTGATCATGACCTCTAGAACAGCGGTTCTCAACCTTCCGGATGCTGGGATCCCTTAGTGCAAGCAG